CCACTACTACATTAACACTCAAACCTCCCCTTACTCAACCTCCACTTTCTATGCAAGCAAACATGATTCTGTGCATGAAATTTATCAAGTATGAACCTACATGAACAGGAAGGTCTTATTCACTAACATGGTCCTTACAACGCAGTTGGCAGACAACCCAAATTCAGAATTGGAAGGTCTAAGGTTTGAATCCCCCTAAGAGACTCTTGTATGTTTGTGACTTCTTTCCTTACAGATAGTAAGATTTACTCAAACAGACAACAAGGAAACAAATAACAGGGTCTGAAATAATGGTGAAGTGTCTGTATTAGGCAAGTTATATCATTTTGGAGAAGAAGGTTCTTCCCTAGGATAAAGCAAACTGCCCAAAATACTGACAAATCTCTGTAGCATAATCTTTAAGTTTCTTTTGTTTAGTTAGACATAATTTTGCACTTTGATTAAAGTTCAGTTGATGTTTCAGTTAAATAAAATTAATCACATTTTGATTGAATTTTTAAGTACATGAAGTGTTTTTAATGAGTCAAGAATGTTCATTTGGCTTCTTGCTTGTTCCTTTTTAGTCACAGAATCAGATTCATAGTTAATTTGTTCATAAATAGTTAAAATTCTTACTCTGATTCTATTAACTCCACCAGTGTGGTTAAACATTGCTGTGTCTAGATCTGGTTCTTCATCCAAAAGCTCATCATCAGAATCACCTGCCAAAAATAAATACTCTATAATTCCTCAATTTTCCAGGAAAGTTTGTCCATCAGCCAATAAAAACCTGAATTGACTGCTATCAATAATAGGTCACTCACAAACAAGTAGACAAAATATGAAGAAGTAGATTATCATGGGTAAATGCACCTTACACCTACATTTCATCCGAATATTCCCTATATTAAAAAAAAAAAAAAAACTTCAAGTCAAGAATTCAATGAGAAAAGCTCTCTTAATAAACTGAAGCCCCATATTAAATGAAGGCTTCTCTTATTCTATTGCTTCACTGTCAGTTCTTTTACACAACTTATATTTGCACCCAAATCAACTTACTTTCATCATCACTTGGGGACGTTTTGTCCAACTGTGACATTTTCATGACTATAACATGATTTTGTTTCCCTGGTGGTGCCTGTGTTCCAGCCACAATGTATGCTGTCATTGGAAACTTGAAAACAGAAAGTGCAAGATTAATGTGAAAGCAATCATAACCAAAAATCAAAACAAGATAAAAAAAATTTTAAATTTGTAATAAGTATACAAAGTTTTTGTGTTCTATTCCATTCCAATATGGAAGAGCTTAATTTTAAACTTATGCAAAAGTTTGTTTCACTTTTCATGAACCAGAGGGTTCATGAAGTGCACATCATAGGTTTTTTCTGCCATTAATAGAATAAACCATAACTAAGATAGCATAAGAAGATTAAATTTGAAATCTGGGTACAAAGTCCTCTGTTTATAATGTTTCACCTCCATGTCAGGTCAGATGTGGTCATTGGACCAAGTTTGCAGCAGAAAATATTCCCTTCTATACATGATCTGATTCTTACCTCTGTTCTGGAGTCTCCAAGGCTATCTGGTATTACATCGAAACTTAGACAAGGAGCATTTGTTTGAGCCTACATCAAAGAAACGATCAATTAAAAAAAACCATGATAACAAAATGTTGGTGATGGCAACATCTACTGAGCAAAATCCAAGAACTGCATTATATCAAAATCCTTTCATTTAGATTTAGCAATAATTTTATCATCATTTGTCTCACTTGCACCCATTTATCACACCCACTGGTACAAAATGCCAAGATATGAGTATTTTACTTGACCTGGCTTGTACAGCTACATTGTACCGGTTGGCCTACACAGCTGGTAGTTTTATGGGCCTTTATGGCATTGTGTATGCTAATAAGTATCTTCTGCCCCAAGGCTCTGGCAGTTTCGTCTTTCAGCTGTGAAGGCTTAATACCAGGAAGGTTTTCATTTGGCATCTGAATTTCCTGGCTAAATTTTGATGGCAGGAGCTACTAAATTTCTTATTTGAATGAGGAGAACATTCTTCTGTCACTTTTTGTCCAGACACCACTATCCTAAAATTCTGAATTAAAAAATTCATGTACATTGGAGAGAGGAGATATTTAAATGCATGCAAACAGTGAAGAGGAATAAATTGCAGCTGTTGAAATCTACACTGTAACAGTCTCCTGCAATAGCCAGACTGTCATTCTACTACATGCATTCAAAGGAAACAGGTCACTTACAGCATGGTACATTTCATAAGCAGAACTGTCATATGTCAATTCATCTCCATCTTCCATCTTATCACCAGGAAGAAATACCTAACACAGTTGAAAGAGGAAGAAACACAAAGTGCTAAAGGCATGCATACATTTTAGTCAATGAATTTTAAGTCAAAATGATTATAAACTATTTTATCAATAGTCAAACAAAAATACATGAACAAGATATAATTGTTTCATGTTGTTGAGAGGTAAATAAGTAGTAATTTATTCTGAAGTTTCATTTTCAGATGTTCTTTGAAATACTTCCCTCTGAGGTTTTCAATTAATTTGGGCAAACACATGCATGTATGAAAGTATGAAATACTCTTTTGAGTATTTGTGTCTGATATATTCTTTTCCTTATTAATGTAATTAAAAATCCCAAGTCAGATATTAATAATTTAATGACATTTTTTTATGCTTTGACCCAATTTTGGTGTCTATCATCACATGGAAATTTGCATGCACCTAAGCTGCTTACTCAACCATTACCCACTAGTGACTTGCCTTCTTGAAAAAAAAATAAACAGAAAAAAAAGAAAATAAAAATAAAATTGTCTGCAGATAGAAACGGTCAGCACTATTCAAGGGATTTAAATAGTGACATACTCACCTTCGTCTTTTCTCCCATTTCCTCCCTCTTTGATTTGGATGTTTTCTTTTTTCCTGAGTTTAAAATTCATTAAGTTAAATATCCCTACAAATTACCCTCCATTATGAAGTTATTGTATTGCACATCAGAGGCACAAGATGATCTTCATCAAAGTGTGGTACAAGCTTGATCTTCAAAATATATACCTCTACAAGAAAAGTTTAATTATTTGGCTTGTGCTTGATCCTGCTCTGAACTAGTGTAAGAGGAATCACCTGGGGCTACACAAGGAAAAGGTAAATTCTGCTCATAAACCAGATGGCCTATCTTACTGGAGTTTTTCCTGATATGAGTTGTATGAAGGAGTGCTGCTTCTCCCCCCTGAACAAGATAGCAGTGTACTGCAGGTTTACTTTCTGAGTATTCTGCCAGTTGACAGTTTACTAAGGAGAGTGAAAGAGTACATATGCACCCATTTAAAAATCTGAGCTGTAAGAGGTACTGTTTGAGTAGGCATTATTGCACAAGATCCCATCATAGTGGACCCAGCTGGGACCTGAGCATGGATCTTTCTTTCTCTAGCTTAGCAATCCAACCACTAAACAAATGGAGCTCTCACCCTGAAGCTATTAAACAAATATCTAATCCTTTTGGCTATAGAGTGCTTTCTATTTGAATGTTATAAAACCAAAACCAAAACAATCAAAACAACCGATCAGATGAAAGGAAAATGACACGAGCAGCTAATAAGAGTCAAAGGATAAACTTGCTAACTACTTCTATATGGAATAATGCAAGTGACTAAGGCATGATTGCTCTCAGTTTTAAATCTAATTGGTTCAGAGACTGTTCTGATTTCTCCGGACCAAACAAAAGACTAGGTAAAGCAACATCAAAGTAATCCCAGATGGTACATGACACTCAACTTAAAATTGCTAAATGATATGCTTTTACCAATTAAAATTTGGGTATGTGAAGAAAAACAAGGACCCAATTAAGAAGAATAATTAATATAAAAGGCCCAGTTAAACATAAAGTACAATACTGGATTCATCACCATTAGCTGATGGTATGGATTCTTCAAATTGCTCATCATCTTCAACTTCAATAGCATCATCACCATCGTCACCACCTCCCTCATCATCATCATCATCATAAAGTTCCATCTCCTCCTCAGCAGAACCTGATTGGAAACAACATAAATTGCTTTTAATTATTTAACCATAATTATATTAACAGCAAGAACACTGGTCTTACTTTTCAGCAGCATTCACCAAAGCACTTGGGGTTTTTTATGGAAAATCTTGTTTACTTTTATACTGATTGGCTCCCTGAACAGCTAGAAATGGTTTTATTCTCTACATCACACTATTTTATTATTTATAGATGAGCCTGCAAGCCTGTTAAGTTTCCTTAGAAGTAGACTTCATCAGCTCAGCCCTTGCTCAATTTTCAATTGTTTTTTCCAGAGAAATTATTGACATTTGCAACAGTAAAGAATTTCTGATGGTTGATTTATTATTTTTATCAAATAATTGATACAATCAATATCAATCAACTGATCATAACTGATATTACTAATTTTTTTAACCCTTTAAGTCCCAAGATCTTCATGTTAATTCTCCCATCTAGCTGCTACACATGTCCTTGCAAGTTAAATCAGGTACAAGAATTTGGTGTCAGATCAGGATAACAACTTTTATCTGAAAAAATTTGAATATCATCACTACTGTTTGCTAGATATATATATATATATATGGATATTTTAGGCTGCAGTTTCATGTTAATCACTTCTAGGAGTTAAAGGGTTAAATGAAATAAAAAATGGAAATGACTGATTACTACGTCATTTTTGGCTAGAATCTTTGTCACTGTTCTCTTTAAAATATATTTCAAGGTCAACAAGAAAGGAATTTCGTAGTGATATACACACCCTCAATGCTCCCTTCGTCCGCCATTTTACTACAAGATGTTCTTCAACGAAATAACTTCAAAGACCTCTCACCCGCACGTGTCGTCAACAGACCCATGCACCGTGTTGGTAAAAAGGTTACGAAAGTTTAAATAAGGCTTATATAAAGTACATCCTTCGACTGAGACACCGCTGAATTGGTGCTCAGGCCTCTTCTATCAAACTCGTTCAACATGGCCGACGAACTAGAGGGAAATGCGCGTAAGAAGAAGGGGAAAGAAACCATTCCTGGTGTAGTTTATATGAGTCGATTACCCCCATTCATGAAACCAGCTAAAATAAGAAACATATTTTCACAATATGGAGAAGTAGGACGACTATTCTTGCAGCCAGAAGGTAAGAATTCAAGGAAAGACAGAGAAAGAATATGATGTTAATTTGAACATGTGCTGTCTACAAATTTCAACCAGTAAATTGAAAACCGGTTTTGATACAAGTGGGTTAGAATATCAGGTATTTTATTATCGTTTAGAGGTTCTTTTAAATTTTCCTATAAAGTGAAAAACTTAGCGGTAAGTGATTCGCTCAGATAATTTAACTTTCTAGCGAAAGAAGTAGAACTTCATGATAAATCGGCTGCAGGCCGTTCTCCGAGCAATTAGAATTTGAATTAGCTTATTGAAACACCACTCATAACTTCTTTATGTCTTATATTAAGAATATGAGTTCCTCTTACCTTTAATCTAAAAATTCTAACATTTTGAATATTTTATCTCAATGAATATTGTTTTCCTCGCTTTGTAGATGCTGCTGTGAGGAAAAAGAGAAAGAAATATGGTGGAAGTGGAAGAAAGTTATTTACCGAAGGATGGATCGAGTTTAAAGACAAACGAATAGCGAAAGCTGTTGCTTTGAGTTTGAATAACACACCTATTGGTAAATAAAGTCCTAAAGTTTTCTTCTTCTGATGTGAACTTTTTTGTTTAACCCTTTAACTCCTAGAAATGATGAACATGCGATTTTTCTCTTTAATATCCACATATTATCCAGCAATTAGGTTGTGAGAATACTCAAACTTGTCAGGTAGGAATTGTTATCTTGATCTAATACCAAATTCTCATAACTAGTTAATAAGGAAATGTGTAGCAGCTAGAGGGAAGAATTAACAATCAGATCTTGGGAGTTAAAGGGTTAAGTTGGCAGTCCCTGATGAATATCATAGAATGAAAGTGACTCTGACGATACTCTCTCAATGTTTTGTATGAGTTACAAAAGTAAGAAGAATGATATGCTAAATTTTGTCAGTGGTGCTAATAGATCCATTACTGAATCATTAGCAGGATAGATTGCCAATTACTGATTGATGAAATGACCAATAAATTGACTGACAAAATTAATTCATAAGTGATTGACTGACTAATTAACTGATTGATTGACTCACTATGACTGATTGACTTACACACAGAATGACTGACTGCCTGTGACTGACCGAATGAATGACCACTTCACACTCTCTCATACCTCTCTAATTGATGGTTTGATGGTGAAAGAAACAATCTAAGTCCTGGTGGACCAACATTTACATTCATTAGGCTTGCATTACATTCAGTAGGCTGATAAATCAAGGTACCAGGCAATTTTAAAACAAACAAACTTGTAAGTGATGGATTGATCTATGGACTAGCTAAGAAACCTCAGGGTAATTAACCCACAAACAAACCAAAAAATCTATTGAAGAACTGGTAGCCTGTTTGATTTTTGTGAATTGTATTTTTTCTTTACACTCAGGGGGAAAGAAAGGAGGATATTACCATGATGATATATGGAATATAAAATATCTTCCAAAATTTCTTTGGGGACATTTGAGTGAAAAAATCGGTAAGTGACCTTCTTGGACCTTAATAATTCATTCTATTTGCTGTTGTTTGGTTTCAAGTGACCTTTTTCATTTCTAATTGCACTCAGAATTTATTTGCATTTATATCACATTTATATTTCATTCATGGAACAAAAACACCTTGGAAATTGTATTTGATTATTTTCTTTTAGCATACGAGAAAGCTACAAAAGAACAAAGAATGAGAACTGAAATATCCCAGGCTAAAAAGGAAGCCAACTTTTATATACAAAATGTTGAGAAAGGAAAAGCCATAGATGCAATGAAAACTCGTAAAAGAAAGAGAGCTGATCAGGTAGGACTATATCAGGCATGCCAAACATATACATAATGTAATATACAGTTAGTGTTTTTGAAAAGAATGATATTAGTTTGTATGGTTCAATATTAAGAAATTTTTTGAAAGTCTACATTTATATTGGAACATGAAAAATAGATGGAATATTAAATGGGTTAAGACCTTTCCAGTAGTTGCAGACTGTGAGGAGTCTAATGTATCCATTTTTTTGGGAAAAAAAAACAGTAAGTTATGCTCTCATAAGTATAGCTCTGGGGCTAAATGCTCTTATCAAAGAAATGTTTATCATTTGTTCTTGAAGGATTTCATGAATAAAAAGGGATGCCCCTCAAAGCAAAACACACTAGTACTGTTGTTGAGAAAAGAGTTATTTACTTGTGTTGTTCTTTTATAATGCAGCCTTTATTCAAACATGTATGAACATACATATATTAAAAATATGATTTTCATTTCCATTACAGAAACCTGTAGAGAAGAGGTTGAGAACCTTCAGGCAGCATCAAGTTGTTGAAGATCAGAAAATGACAGAGATCAACCCTGGGAAATCCACCGAAAAAGACGTAGGGAAGTCACTCAGTAAAGATCTATTGAGGAAGGTAAAACTATTAAAAGGAAAAATATTCCATGTAGGCTGATGGCCTAGAAATGTTTTGTTTTATTCCTGTTTCTACCCTGAAATCTGTTGTTCAATGTCATTGTCTTTGCTGAAATCCTGAGTGTGTTCACTGTTTATTATTACCACTAGGTTTTCACCTCAGTCAGTGGAAGATGATATTTGATATGCAGCTCTGGGTAGTGTTGGTTATACTATCACATATGTAGTGTTGGTTAAAATGAAATTCATCCTGGTTGATTCGCTTTTAATCTCCGCTTTGGTATAAGTGCACCAGGTACCATAACGTCAGACTGCAAAACCCACTAAACCCTGTCATACTTGCTGTTCATTTCATGTCGCCGTCACCAGTGGCTCAAAGATTTCCAGGACTTCCATGGTTTGTGACAGGCTGATGACTTTTTCCATTCAGTTCAGTAGCCATAGCTAACACTAATGAATCAATCAACTGGTGATAATTGATCAGGCACCAGCTTTACACAGACAATTACAGTGCCCTAAGGAACTGGAAACAGAACATTCTTTGTGAAGCCGAAAAAATTTAATGTGGATAAAAACCTTTCATGATTATACTTGCAAATTATTTGGGCCAGCCTCTAGATCCACAAATTTTTGTTCTAGGATCTTAGTGTTAGGTTTTTAAATCTTATGATGATATAAATATTTTTACACTGCTTATTGTGTACAAAAAATGTTAAACAATTTATGTCATAAATGATCACAGATTCGCTCACAAAACATTCTCAAGGTTTGATAACAATTCAGTTACTCTCTATGAAGTTATTTTGTTTAAGTAGGCCCAAACTGGGAATCTTTAGTTTATTTTCCATTGTACCAGTTTTCCATTTTACAGTCTTTTTGATGAAAAACTGTGCAAACCCCCCTGTGGGAGGTTTTGGGCTAAACTTAATCTTATGACTCGCAAGACCAGATTGTTAATTCTCACCTCTAGCTGCTACATATTTCTTTCTGAATTAGTTCATAGAACTTGGTGTTGGATCAAGACAATAACTTCAACCTGATAAGTTTGAGAATTCTCATTACTTTTTTCTGGATAATGTATGGATATGATAAGGAGAAGTTACTTCTGGGAATTAAAGGGTTAAAGTTGTAGCAAAGTTGGCTGTGGGCGCTATATATATGGTCCAGGGTATCCAAGGTAACCCTCCAACTGAGTTAGCGTGGCCGCACTGACTTTCCACTCACTTCTTTGAAAAATTTAACAAACCGTGTACATGAAAATGGCAAACTCATCTCGCGGGTCGAGACAACCCACACCACCTGCCCTATTTATAAACATGACCGCCTGGATCGACCTTTATATGGCAAGCACGTGCACGGCGAAGGTTAGTGAATTCTCAAGGTGAAGTAGCATAACAATCATCGAAACAATTGCAAGACTGCGTGAATCAACAAATTAATAAGAATTTCTCTTCACAATAGAGAATGGATTTGCTCACTCTCTGTAACGGAAGAAATAAGTGGCTCGGAATGTTTCTGTATCGCGAATGAATTTGTTTTCAGCACTTGTTAATATTCACCATTAAAAGAAAAGAAACTGAATTTTAAAGGGGCACCTAAGTCGAATAAAGACATATGGCACGTTTCGTGCTGCTGAAGTTTTAATATTGCAAGTAATCCAAAAACCTTTTGGATGGCCTCAGGGATTTTCCCATTTTATCCCTTGGATAATATTAAACGGCGTAATTTGAATTTCTGCGTAGAATAGAGTGAATCTTGAATGCATTTATTTCTCTTTAAAATGAGTGTTCTTGACTCCACCCATGATTTTAAGCATGTCACAATATTATATACATGTAATAGGCACATGCTAGATCCAGATATGCATGTTTTAGTCGGGAAATATCGTTGGTCAACATACTCACTGAGTCTCCGAAGCGGAACGGCACTTAGTGGTAACTTCCATCCTCAACAATGGCTATATTTCGGGTGCAGAAATTTTGCTGGCAGCGGAAAAAGAGGAAAATGTCAAGAGGAGTTACGTAAGTTTCTAGTTAGTGTTCGACCGCGTGATGCAGAATCCTTCATCAAACGTTTTCCCGCCTTTTCTTGATTATTCATTCGGCCTCCTGTTGGGTTAAACAGCCGTACCGTAATAGAAACTGGTATGAAGTTAATTCAGATTAAACGAGATGTCTACTTTGTTAGTAAGGTCTCCTCTGCCCCCCGGGGTAAATAGCGACACGTTTCTTAAGTGCTTGAGTACTTTAGGTACTATCAAGTGTTTTAGCGGGCCAAGCCGCCTTTTTGCTTCCTGAATCAATACTGAAAAGTGATTTGACCGCAGAGAAAGACAAATGCAATCTACTGGCTAGATTAGTGGATACTCTTGCATAGACATAGACTCCATTAACTACAAAGTACACCGGGGTTTTCCATACAAAGACTTCTGAAAAAAGCTCGGAAAACAAACGTTAGAACTCACTTCCATGTTGGCTTTAAAATCTGCTTAAAGCTAAATTGAAGGTACTCGAAAAACAGCTTTAAAAAATTGCCATTTAGAACTTTCTCAGGCGTCAGAAATATACTTATTTTATAACAACAGCTTCACGTGTTTTGTTATTGATTTCTTGTCTTATTTTGTTTAACTCCAGCAGGTTTCAAGTAATTAATTCACCTCTCATTAGACTCGATGTCGCTACGATGGAACGTCATTATCAAACAGTTAAAAGCGTAATTTATTTGGAATGTTATATTGATCAGAAGTCGGTGGGGGGGGGGGGGGGGGGGGGGGGAGATAAAATTGCACGACAGGGCTCAGACATGTCATTGGCGCGTGAAACTAAAGCTATTTTGTTTTCGTAATATTTTCGTGTTTTCCTTTTTTTTTTTTTTTTCATAACACAGAACTTTACGATACCACATTTCGCTCTTGCTGTAAAATGAACAACTCGAAGAAGTTGTTGTCCATGTTTGGTATTAGTTTTGTTATGGAGTGAATTCTGCCTCAATAGATTGAATTGAACATTTCCATTTTGGAAATTTAGGTCGTTAACAACAATCTCTAAATTAGCTAAAATCTATCCTTTATTTTGAATACAATGATTTTGGAACACACTTCGTTCTTTTTTGTTTCAAGAAGTAATGACTGCATTTGTAAATAGCTCCTTTCGCCTAACGAGATATTCCATGCTTGAATGCCCCCTCCTGAACCTTAAAAAAGACAATATAAGCTCCCCTGCTGAGTAGAATAAAGTCTATTTACAAACAGACAAACAAGCAATGACAAGCAAGGTCAAGATGAGGGTCAGTGGTTACTAAAAGATACTATCAACATCTCATCAAAAGTGTATACGTTTTAAAATTTGTTACCTCGGGCACATCCGTGACTTCCACGAGGTAGGATTTGTTTATGTTTTTACAAATCGGTACATTGTTCAGCGTAATATAAATATCTGGACTCATGTGAAATGGAATGACAGCGAGGTAAGCTTGACTTATCACGTTGTTTTCTCCCAATGGAGAGGAGAGGAGTCACACAGCTCTGGGTAACCTGAGCATTCCACAGTCAGCAACACGATGAGACGAGGCTAAAAGACATCAAATCAGTGTAAACTCAAAGGCGGAAAATGTTGAACAACAACTCATCGTCAAAGAATTTAACAGAGTCCGAAATGTCCTCAGAAAATCAGTTGTGTTCGCTGTTGATACAAGTCCAGAAAGGGAACGACATCTCATATGAGGAATTTCGTTCAGTGTGTGCTTTCATTGCATTTACAAACGCTCTCATGGCCGTCATTGCTATACTTGGAAACAGTATGATTATTTCAGCTTTTTATCGCTCCGAATCGTTGAGAACACCATCTAACTTACTCTTGCTTGGTTTATCAGTTTGTGACTTTTTAGTTGGCTCAGTTACTCAGCCTGTTTTTACCACTGAAGTCGCTTTAGTCGCCGCAAATTCAGACGTGGCTTGTCGGTTCAAAGATTTCTACGTAATATTTTTGTTTTCGTTCTCATTTGCATCGATGTTACATGTTTGTTTGATTAGCGTCGAACGTACCTTTGCCATAATCCATCCGTTTAAACACCACCGGTTTTTAAACAAAAATAGAGTTGCAACATTTTTCCTCGCTTTTTGGATTTGTTGGACATTACTGACAGTGTTCACTCGACGCGAGCATGGCGGAGGTATTATTGGTTACTCACGCATGGGGTTCGTTATTTTTAGCGCTGTGGTGGTGTTTTTCATAAACATTCGACTGTGGATAGAAGCTCGGAGACATTCCAAAGTGATTTCAAGGCTGCTTCAACATTCGTTGCAGATGTCTTTACAAACTTGCTCGACATCGCAAGAGACCGAATATGCAGAGACTAACATACGAAGAAAATCCGTGCGAGATGCTAAGGCAGCTAAGACAGTTTTACTTATCATCGGTTTTATGGTTTTATGCAATTTACCACTCATAGCAACATTCACTGCACGTAAGTTTTACAATGTGCGCGGACGAGTAGTGACTTTGCTTTGGTTCGCTTCAAACACAGTCGTATTAATGCCTGCCATACTAAACCCAGTTGTTTATTTCTGGCGCAAAAAAGAGTTCAGGGTCTCTGTGAGAAGGATGTTTAATTTACATAATGCTGTCGGAGTGCAACCCTGACGCAACCCTTTCCTTAAAGAAATGCGTTTTATTTTTGGCTGTTTGAATCAAAAATTTAACGTCGTTCAATAGTGCGTGATCTTGACATAAATTACATTGTGCATAATTCAATGCGCTCGAACTTTCTACATATCAAATGTTTCCAACCGCAAAATGTATCGTGAACCGATGAAATGTCACGAATGGCCAGTACCAGCTCAGGCATAAAAGATTGGCCAAGCAATCATATCTCTTTAGCAAGAACAGTGAACTATCTTTCTTAATGTAGGCTGGTAGGGAACGTTCAAGGAAAGTTTCAAAATAATCGTTCAATGACTTTTGTTTCTGAGGAATATCTTAAGCGTTCTAAAATAGCTCATTTTCTGGATTCTTTTATGTTGTATGTTCGTAAATGATTTGCTGTTCTCATCATTTGCCTTTTTTTTCAATAAATGTAACTTAATTAGTTTATTTGTCTACCTTTCTGACTAAATATCCTTTTAAACAATCCTTTGCTCACGGCATACTTTTTGCATTAGAAGGAGACTTTTTTCTCTTTCTGTCATCGCCTCATAGAAACGCAGGGGGATTGGAAGAATTCGAAAAAAGTTACAAAAACCTGAAAAGTAGTGTTACTTTTCATCATTTTCTCCTACTGATCTACGTGCAATGCATGAATGGCAGGGGGGTATTTGGTACGAGGCACGCAAATTATTATTTGTTCTCAATCTCTAATCGTCTTATTTAATCTGTTCTCGTCAAAAGTTCTTAATGTACTATGAAATCAAGTTCAAGAAACCAGTGAAAACCGTCTAGGGATCGACTACATCAATCTAGCTAAGACGGTTTTGAAAAATAAACTTTTTCCAGATAATTTCGGATTCCTACCCAAAAAAAACCTTTCAAATCCCTACCCCAACCTTTTACCGCATTTAACTAAACAAAACTTACCGTCTAGGGGTCGACTACATCAATCTGGCTAAGACAGTTTTGAAAAATAAACTTTTTCCAGATAATTTCGGGTTCTTACTCAAAAAAGCCCTTTCAAATCCCTACCCCAACCTTTTACCGCATTTAACTAAACAAAACTTACAATAGGACTGTTTTGCAACACCTGTAAGTTTTTTAAACTAATTTGTGCCTGCTTCAAGGAAATAGCATGGAAAAAAGACATTTGATAAATGCAGTTTGGAGAAATTGAGACTTGATTGTGTCGCTGTTTTTTTGTAACTCGGTTTTAACTTGACTCAAAGTGGTTTCATCCTTTTTAGATTCTAATTTCTTGTTGGATCGATGTTCGACACTTTTTCTTGTGTTGCCCTGAAAATGGTATCAAAAAAAAGCCCGATTTGTCTTAACAAGTTTGGAATCATGTATGATTCATGATTGTTTCCGTATACTGATCTGTCTTCAGAACAGCACTCAGCGCTCAATTTATCGATAAGAAGTAAATCAACTTCTAAGAGCTGTACATGTAACGTAGCACGTGCACGAAAGAGAAACCAGCCAAAACTTATACACAAGGATCGAGCTCTACCTTGTTCCGACAAAAAAAATCTTTTGGCATGTTTCCACACGCAGCACTAGCAAAATTCACTCGAATTAAGTGATAACACTTTTATTTTTCCACTGAAGTACATACATACAGCTTTGCGCACCATGGGTTTTTGTTTTGAGCTCTTTTCTCAATTTTTAGGGAATAAGTCTCAATGTTGAGCTTTTTTTAATCCAGCGAGATTAAATGTTTTTCACCCTATCTCATTAATATATTATATCAGGTCATGTAAGGTGCAACACGCTGTCTCTCGTTGTACGCATGTGCTAGGTCACCGCTACTACCCTTACCTACAAAATAAAGCTAAACCGAAATGGGGATTTGTAGTCATAATTTCTCATTTTCAACTGTTTTCTCTATCCAGAAAGGAATTATCGAGTCCATACTCTCCATGCTCCTATTTTCTTAAGTAAAATGCGATCAGCAAGGAAGCTGTTCACGCAACGGGTGAATTAAGTCATTTCCCCAGCTTTTTGAGACTGAAGTGTTACGCTAAGGGGCTTAAAACACTTTGTGCTTAGATCTAGTTATTAAAGAGCTACGGATTAATACAGATTATCTGTTTATACTTAATATGGGGATTGAACACCCCTAAGGCTACAGATGTCTTTTTTTTTCTTTTTTTTCTTTGTCTTTCATCTGGAATAATGCCAATATATTTCTCAATGAGGCACTTCAACAGCATTCTGCCAACCGAGCATTCTCTTTACAGAAATCCTGAAGTCCTTTTTGCGCCAGAAATAAGTTACTGGGTTTAGTGTGGCAGGCATTAATACGACTGTGTTTGAAGCGAACCAAAGTAAAGTCATTACTCGTCCGCGTACGTTGTAAAACTTACGTGCAGTGAATGTTGCTATAAGTGGTAAATTGCATAAAACCATTAAACCAATGATTAACAAAACTGTTTTAGCTGCCTTGCCGTCGCGCGGGGATTTTCTTCGTGCTTGTGTGCCATTCTCTTCATTGGTAGCGGAATTAGGGTTTCCTGTAAAGCTCGCAATATTCCTAGAATGTCTTCGAGCTTCTATCCAAAGTCGAATGTTCAAAAGAAGCACTACCAGAGCGCTGAAAACAACAAATGTTATGCGTGAGTAGCCAATGACACCTCCGCCATGATTGCGTCTGGTGGACACGGTTAGCAAAGCCCAAAAAATCCAAAACACTACCACCAAGACAGAAACTCTCTTGGTCGTCACAAGATGTTCATGTTTAAAAGGGAACATTATGGCTAAGGAACGTTCGACGCTGATCAAGCAAACGTGCACCACTGAGGAGGATGAAAAGGAGAAAAGGAAAATAACATAAAGATCTTTTAGCTGGCAAGCCAAGTCTGAGTTTGCGGCGACTAAAGCGACTTCGGCGGTAAAAACAGGCTGAGTAATTAAACCAACCAACAAGTCACAAACTGATAAACCAAGCAAGAGTAAATTAGATGGTGTTCTTAGCTGCGCATATCGATAAAAAGCTGCGATGATCACGATGTTTCCAAGTATAACGAACAACGCCAGAAGAGCATTTGCAATCGCGATGAAGATACAGATTGCTCTGAAGTCTGGAAAAGAGATGTCATTTCCCTTTTGCACTTGTTTTAAAAAAGAACAAAATTGGCTTTCCGACGAATATTGAGCGTGATCCGTTTGGTTTTCTTCCGCAACAAAAATGTTGCTGTTGTTGAACATCTTCTAACTCTGTATCTTCCCTAATAAACCTTTTTCTATACTTGGATAGTATGGTGTCTTATCAGGAACAGCGCCCGTTTGAGATTGATATCCTTGTAGAGCCGTTCTTCAGTAATCCTTTCAGTAAAGAATACCGAGATCAATTACTTAGCTAAATGGCTTTGCCTCAAAGCGTCTCCAATACTCTCATCGATTTTGCCAAATGACTATTTCATTGTTCTAGAAAGCTAATCGTCTTTATTAAACGGGCACATTTGCGTCATCGCTGATTAGTTCATATTGTTTGGCGCAAGAGGTTTTTTCCTCTTCATTTAACCAGTCATTAATGAATTAACTCATTTTTGGCTGAATCGCACAGTCCACCACGACAGGTTTTTCCGATACACGGTTGTTATCTTTCCCTTCTAACTGAGAAGATTTTTTCAATCCCAGCAGGTTCTGTGGTTGTTGTGTTTTGGCGTCAGTCGACACTCTTCCGACGTATTTAATTTAGAATTTTCAGTTAATACCATGGACAGTTAAATTTTTTTCTCTGTTCACAACATTTCTTCAGTTCTCTTAAAAATGCCAGACAAATTTGGAGTTAAGAAAGTTCTGCGGAAAATGATGATAGACTTAATTATTCTTACTGTAACGTTAAATTTTACTAAATATTTTTGATAGGGAATAATTCCTCATGCTAATGAACTGATATGAACAACAAAGGTATAGAATTAAGACAAAGGGTGAATCAAATGCGTGGGACGTCTTTTGACGGGAAAAACTTCTTTTTTCGGATAAGACAGTTTAGTTTTAGAGTGAAAACAGGATTTTTCTCTCCGTGACGTATTTTTCAATTTTGTAATGTAGTCCTTTCCCCCGTCGAAAAGGTTGGGTTGGGTTAAAATAACTAAAGAAGTTCGGCATTCACTGTAAGTGCTAAATCTTGTCTTTGTGACACTCAAGACTTAAAATTGAATTTATGACCTCGGAAGCGGTAAAATTACCGGGCTATAACCGAGTTTAGTCGTCTAGTTCCTACTGGGACAATTAATAATGATCTGAAAACACAAGAAGTGCAGAAAATCATTCCAATTGTACTCTTCTGTAACCATACGCTCAGATGCTTGAACGAATCCGTAGAAACTTTTTGTTGTGATAATAGAGTAATCAGCATAAGGACAGACTTTATTTTTTATTTTGCTCTTGTTACTCAAGAAATATAGCTTCTTGTCATTTTAAATTACCTGATCGATGGTAATAAAACATTTTTCTGCCTTCAAGTAGCGATCACAATAAAAAAAAATCCTATGATGGTACGTGTTCCGAATCATATAATCCGCTTTCTAGTCATCTGAATCCCGACTCTAACCTTATCACTCGCCTGCCCAATAATGGCTACATGGCTGAGGAAGATCTGAACAATCGAGTGACTTCTTTTGGCGACAAAACAAACTTTTCTATTATACATTTCAACACTCGAAGCTTAATGAGAAATTTCAATCAACTTAATTTATTGCTGAGAAATCTTAATATGCCGTTCTCTGTGATTGGTGTGTAAGAAACTTGGCTAACTGATTGCACTGCAGAGAACGTAAATATCAGGGGATATAATTTTGTCTCCAACCATCGTAAATCGAAAACAGGCGGCGGAGTTGGAATTTATTTACAAAACGGCCTTGAATACAAACTTCTCGAAGAATGCAAATTTTCAGATCCAGATGTAATCGAGTCACTTTTCTTGGAAATTATTGTTCCCCACGGAAAAAATATCATTGTTGGTTGCGTGTACAGACCACCAAATCAAAACGCAGCTATTTTTATTGACAAATTCAACAATATTCTCTCACTAATTTCTAAAGGCAATAAACATTGTTATGAGATGGGAGACTTTAACCTAGACCTCCTCCAATACAATCATCATGTTCCAACACAGGAATTTATTGACAGCTTATTTTCACACGCCTTTCTTCCTCTCATCTCCAATCCAACACGCCTCACCTCATACTCTGCGACGCTAATTGACAACATATTCACCAACAACCTTGTCCCTAGTGTTTTTAGCGGCATTATTCTAAATGATTTGTCTGACCACTTACCCGCTTTTGCATATTTTGACGACGCAACTCTAAAGCGCAGCACAGAAAGAAAAATTGTGATGCGCCATTCAATGACGATAATTTGCATAAATTCAACGAGAACTTTTCAAACGCAAAATGGTCCTTATTTCACCACATGAAAGATCCCAATGAAGCCTATAATGATTTTATTGAAGGATACTCCAGAATCTATAACACCTGTTTCCCTTTAAAGGTTTTCAAAGGTAAGCAGGTAAACAAGTTCTTTTCTCCATGGCTTAGCCGTGGACTTCTGAAATCCGTTAAAAAGAAGAACAGACTCTACAAAAAGCTCGACACATCATCTTCCACATCTTCTGAGACGAAGTATAAAGCCTACAAAAACAAACTTACCCATCTTATTCGCATTGCCAAACGTAAATACTACGACTCCAAATTTGAGAATGCCAGAAATGACCTCAAAACAACTTGGAAATTGTTAAATGAAGTTATTAACAAGCGTAAAAGTAAGTCATCTCTTCCCACATCATTCAAATCTGAAGGCAGAACATTAACGGATCCAATGGAGATCGCTGACAGATTCTGTAAATACTTTACAAACATTGGTCCCAACCTAGCTAAATCTATACCCAGGGTGAATCATTCTTTTCGTTCTTATCTTGGTGATA